CCTTCCTGTGTGGCTGTGGTCTCCTGATTATCATTCTGGAACTTACTGTTTTAAAAAGGATAATACAAATTTTACTCTTTCCTTGGAAAATTCACAATAGAATCTCTTGCTTTCATCTTCATGTAAAATTATGACTATTTTACGGTTTTTGGGACTTGGATTGTTGTGACTTGGCTTTTAATTTGAGAGAGTTCACATTTTCGTCTTTTGACGACGAGAAAGAGAGAATCATCAGTTCATCAATCATAGAATGAGAATCAAGATTTTTATCAGTTGTATTTTGAAAAATATTCAAAATACCCACAATCACAATAGGCTCTTATTCTCTGCTCTAATTCAAAATATCCAACATTCATTTTTGTATATTTCAGGCTATGCATTTTTGCAAATCTGCTCCTCCGAAATCTCGGAGGACCAAGTACGCAAAACAGAAATGCGTATATAGTCTGTACGCAAATTGGGCTGGCCAGTCATAAAATAACATGCAACTTTCAAACTAGCACGCAAACCTATCGTCTCTGTGGCTTTTGAATTTGTACCTGCATATTACCCTTAAAATGACGTCAACACAAGCGTGCACGATGGACTGCAAGTCCGAGAACATCCGGAAAGAGAAGGCCCCGAAAGCACGACGCAAGCTGAAGGAAATTGAACGAAATTTTGTTTGCAACATATTAGGTTGCAGCCGCATCTACGCATCAGAGCAGTCATTAAAGCAGCACAAGAAGCGCAAGCACAAGTTTTTCAGCGCCCACGAGGAGAACAAAAGGGCTCAGATGTTGGAGAGGGAATCCTTTCATATGCATCTGGTTGCAACGAGAATGGATAAGCATCAGCAAATGTACCAACGATTAAGCGCTGCGCGCGCGTCTTGCACTCCATTTCCACGGGCTGCTGCACCTTGTCAAACGAATGATTGGCGTCAGCATAGAGTAGCCCAAAGTGTTGCCTATTCAAATGGGGAGAATAGAGAGAACGCGCGGACGGCATCAATTCAAAAATGCAGCCCTCGTGGGCATTCACACGTGGACGTTTTGATGGCTGCAGATAATTTTGTTGATTCTTCAAGGACGATCGGCCTTGGCAGAGTCACATTTCCTACTGGATCTGATACTGATGAGGTGGCTACTATAGATGAAGAGCAGGACTCAATGTGCTTGAGTTCGGATTGTTTAGATTCAGCTTTCTCATTACATTGCCAACAACAATCGCTGGGGCAAGACTTGATTATGAATACTAATGGCGTGGACGTCTTGAGTGGAGTTGATAGCTTCATCTTTCCTGAGCTGGCACTACTAGACCAGTCTGATCTCTTTGACCAGGCCAACAATGCCGTGACTAAGAACATAGACCCATTGAATATGAATAATGACATTGGTTTCGGCCCTGATGTGCATAATTTGCTTGGCCAGGACATCTTTAGCGACAATCTTCACATTGAATTGAATGCTGATTACGGACTGAATGCGACCTCGAATTCGTTCAATGATATTCTTAGCAGAGAAGACAGTATTTCTACTATCTGCTCGCCACAAATGCAAGCAAACCGGTTCAGCTTCAGCTCCTTTTCTGATGGGATTGACTTTGGAGCTAGTGTTGGTTTGGCACGGAGTGATAGTTTCTCATCAGATAGTGCATCTTCTAGAGGATCTGTACAGGATCTTCAATTGCATTCAATAAGTACAGCATCATTGATAGATGCAGGACCAAGCGATAATGGTGAAGTCCTTAATCAGATTATGGAGTTGATTGAAGCCAACAGGAGGATTAACTTTCAACTGATGTCTTTATCATAGTTAAATATGCCGTGTGCACATATTAACAACATTAGCAACTGGGAAATTTCGGCCGACAGTGCGCGATTAATTAAGCCAAGGACATATTTTACGCCTTTTACCCCTCGAAATATATATAAGTAAAAGACAAATTGGATGCAATTATTTTAGAGTATATATATATATATATATATATATGATATACAACCTTCGATATAAAATTAAAACACTGTTCATCTCTATACTGTAACAAAATTTAATGTTCAACTGGTTGAAACGTTCATCAGTACCAAAATTTCCTTGCAGCACTCATTCAACCACGCAGCCGTTCTGATATATTCTATATAGGTTGCAAATGTAAGAAATTTTAATGGTTAGTGGGGTTTAATAAGTGATATTTTTGAGCAAAATATATAGCTGAAACGATGTTTTACTCGACTACTTCAGGTTCATTTTGAACCATGCCAAACGCGAAACCTATTGCAGTATGAACTTTAAAACTTGTTGCACAAGTGAAAGCATACCACAATCTATTCGATAGAAATTGCATCGTTTTCCGTCAAAACGATGTAACTACAGCTTAATTTCAGTCACGTATGATTGGTTAGATAAGAATCATGTGCATGATATCATTGCCGGCTACTCGTGTTCATTACATTGTGCGGTGGCCTGCTTCTGCTTCAACTTTTGAAGCACGTTTTTAGCTGTGTTATAATTTACATTCGTCGCGCTACCACATACGTAGCAAGTCTTGCTTTTCTGG